ACAATAGAACAAATGGCAGCGGCAAACAAAAAGGCGGAGACAGAAAATTTTATATTTGAGTTTATTCAGGTTTATCGTGGACTTCCGTCATTATGGGACGTGAAGTCCGATGAGTACTCCAACCGTGATGTGAGAGACCGCGAATGCAGTGCTCTCATCGAAAAATATAGGGAAAAGTTTCCCGATGCTACCAAAAAAGAAGTTCTACAAAAAATACACACGCTGAGAACAAACTATAAAAGAGAGATTCGTCGGCTCAATATTAATAACAAGAGCGGCGCTGGTGCAAGTGAGATGGAGACACCCCAACTTTTTTATTTCAAGGCACTCAATTTTGTTAATGATGTTGACACACCTTGCAAATCAAAAAGCAGTTTATCTTTTGATGTTAGTATGGATTTGATTATATATTTAGTTTTATATAAACTATTTTACATTGTTTTTGCTACACGTGGGCCCTCTCATTTTGAAAAACCACTTGCCCTTCCTCGTTTACATATTTACAAAATTCATCCCTAATTGTCTTTGCATTGGCTGAGGAATTCCGTGACACTGTGCCCTGCAAAGTGGTGAAAGTTTCCATATTTTGACCCAAATTTGGGATAGCTGCCTCAAAATATTCGGTTTCAATTGACTGATTTTTATTTTTTATTTTTTTTTTAATAGAAAATTGTACAAATAACATCAAGCCAATACAATGGTTTGGACTTTTTCTGGCGCCAAATTAATTGTTGTTTGAAATATTCGAAAACGATGTGCTAATATTCCGAACGCATTTTCAACGATTCGCCTGGCCCGACTTAGTCTGTAGTTAAAAATCCTTTCAGAAGTAGTTAGACTCGATTGGGCGTACGGTTTCAGAAATTATCAGTAAGTTGAAAGGCATCATCTCCAACAAAAACAAAAGGAAGAACTCTAGGACTATTCGGTAGATTAGTTTGATCTGGCAAATTTAAATTATTTGAGTACAATTTTAATCCAAAATCGGTGTGGCGAAGAACACCACCTTTCGATATTCTCCCATTAATACCTGCATCCACAACTATGAATTCATAATTGGTCTTGACTACTACCATTAAAACGATACTGAAAAATTTTTTATTGTTGTAGTGAAACGATCCGGAACTTGGTGGTTTTTTTATGGCAATATGTTTGCCATCGACAGCGCCCAAACAATTTGGAAAATTCCAGGATCTATTGAAATCATCGGCGATTTTTTTCCAATTTTCTGGCGTTTCAGGCATCTGCAAGGATCAAATTACACTACTCGACAAAACCGAACTTTTTTTTCCTCAAGGATCCAAACCGATTTTTTTTTATAGTTACGGGGATTTACAATTTTTTAAAGAATTATGGTTTTTTTTCTATGGCAGAACTTTTTTTTGAAGAATTTTTGAAGCCTGGTATTTTATTTTTAAGCTTTTTTCAAAGGTAGCGCTTGTTTTTTTCACATAGCTTTAGTATCTTACGTCTGGTTGTAAAGAACTTTGCTATTTTGAAAAGATAATTAAAACAGCTAGAAGTTAAGCCCAAACACTTTGTGATTACAGCTTACCGTCTGGGAAATATAAAGCATTGAAATGCAAAAATGATGATTTTTGTGCGGTATTTTTTACGAAATTTTGACTTTAAAAACTCAGGAAAAGTCGAAAAAAATTATATCTTGTGTCCTCTATTTTTTTGTGTATAGGTGCATTAATTTGGCGTCGTTCAAGGTATCGCTCATTTAAATCTATGGAGAGACCTTGGAGCTAAAATTCGTTAGCAAACCTAAAATATGGAAAAAATGAACAAAAAATACCTTTTTGAAGGTTGCGGGCCCAACTGCCAATTGGGAACAAAGCAAACAAAAAGGGGTTGTACATTTGGTAACTGATCGCGATCCCAAAGGAACGCGATGGAAAAATAGCAAAGTTCTTTACAACCAGACGTAAGACACTAAAGCTATGTGAAAAAAACAAGCGGTACCTTTGAAAAAAGCTTAAAAATAAAATACCAGACTTCAAAAATTCTTCAAAAAAAAGTTCTGCCATAGAAAAAAAAAAATATATCATCAAACCATTTCTAAGCCCCAAATCTTTAATAAAAAGTTGGTTTTGTTCCTTGAGGAAAAATCGTGTTGACCAGTGTAATCGTAGGGTAATCGATCGGGAACCAGGGGTGGTTACGCCCTAGGACATGCATGTGTTAAATTCTCCGCTGAAATACATTGTCGGGGAAACGAAGCGGAACTGGGGACATGAGAATGGTACCTAGTTCGGCACCGGTACCGAACTAGTAGCCTGGTACTAGAGGGTGCTTACTGACAGACGTGCAACAGATAGAGACGACTATTGCGTGTTTTTGGTGATGCTCTAGAGTCTAGACAGGAGACATAAATGGGAATACATACATGAAAACATACACCGAAATACGTGCTGAAAAGGCTGGCGGAAAAAAAAGAAAATTGTGAAGACATCTAAAATCGACAAATCTGTTCAAATCGATGAACAAAAGATCGTAGACAGCGATAATGGGACAAAAAAAAGAAGATAATCCACACTCCTCATCCCGACAAGACACCGCAAGTGGAAATGGACGCTACCATCAAACCGAGGACAAGGTAAAAGGTAGCGGCATCAACACCGATGGAATCCAACGTAATCAAAAAGGCTGCAGACATGCAGTCCGAAGGCCGATCTCCACAAACAGCCAAAAATAGCCAAAGCTCACGGGCAACGTCTAAGGTGAAAAATCTGATGAAACAACTGGAGTTAAATACAAAACAGCAGCTGCTTGCCCAGCAAATTGAGACACAGGAGCAGCAGCGCCAACAGCTGACACTTCAACAAAAACATCTGGACTTGGAACAAGAGCTGCTTGAGGTGCAGCAAAAAGGAGGACAAAAAGAAGATGACATCGACCACAGCGACGAAAATGATGGCAAATACGCTGAGATGCGTACAAGTGAGTGGTTTAACACAACACGTAAGCTTAAATTTAAAAATGAAAGTCTTAATAGCTCAGGAAATAATAAGGATGTGGAAACATTCATGGAAAGGCAGACAAAAAAACAAGACCTACCGACATTTGCAGGGGATCCATTAGAATGGCCCATATTTTATTCCGAATTTGAAAATAGTACAAACGCCTTTAAATTTAGTAACTATGAAAACACAAGTCGTCTAAGAAAAGCTTTGACAGGTCGCGGCAAAGAATGTGTACAATCTCTTTTGTTGTTACCAGATAATGTGTTGACGATAATAGAAATCCGAAAAGAGAGATTTGGTGACTCGAGTCATATTATAAGAAAACTGATTGATAAAATTAAGAATATCCCATTTATAAAAGTCGATAAATACAAACGACTAATCTCATTTTATGATATAATTACGAATCTAACTCATACATTGTTGTCAATCGAAGATTTAGATCATATTCGTAATCCGTTGTTACTTGACGAAATATTGGAAAAATTACCTATGTCACAGCGAATTGCATTTATGAAACACTTTCAAAAATCCAGATCATCTGAGCCAAAAATAATAGTTTTTCAGGCTTGGCTAAGTGAAACCATTAAGGCTGCAACCATGATAGGCCTGGGGCAGCATAAGTCCAAAGATAGTACGTTAACAGTTACAAATTATCCAAATAATGCAACCAAAGAATATAGAAAAGGATTCTGTAATTATTGTAAGTCGACTGATCATTATGTTACGACATGTGGAAAATGTAAAGACTTACATATTGACAAACGATGGGAGCATGTGTCTCAGAATAGCTTGTGTAAAAACCATTTGATGAAAGATTGTAGACGCAAAAAGCAATGTAAAATAAATAATTGCAGTTATAATCATAACAATTTGTTACACAAAGACAAACCGTCAAGACAATCAACAAGACAAGCGAAACTATGATGATCAGTGGAATACAAATACAGAAAGCAATTGTAATTATCCCTTGTCACTTGACAACAAAAGGTGCTTAGAAATTGTAGAAAAATCTCTAAAGCGTGTAGAAGACAGGTTTGAATGCGGTTTTTTGGAAACAAGAAGATATACGAATTCCAGAGAGTTACAACAATGCGTATTCTAGATTAATGGCCTGTGAAAGGAAAATTGACAAAAACCCTAAGTATGGAAAGAAATATGAACAAACAAATAAATCAAATATTTCAAGAGGGTATATAAAACGAGAAGGAACGTGTGAGTCGCTTCTAAAGACGCGACTTTACTTATACCCGTACTCAGTCAGTATTTACATTTTTGAGCATCAAATATATTAGAATTTTAGAATTATAAAAAAAAAATTTACATAATAAATTTTTTTGCTACATCAGTTAACTACATCTACATATATTATGTATATTCTACATCTAACATGTAGATTATACATCTACTCCGCTAGGGGTTGCTCGCGCACTGAACGCGGCAGAGTGTGCGAGCGAGAAGGTTAGTGGTTTTCGTCGGGAGGGGGCAGGGAAGCAACTGAAAATTAATTTCTTCATTCTGGCTATAATTATGATCCGATCTGATTCAGATTCGGTAATCTGGTAGATATGGGCATTCTCTACGATACTGTGTCTTTAAAAATGTGCCTGCCACAGATTTTCGTTCTTTGTGGCGGCGGAAAAGGGCGGGGCGAAATTTTGAAATACACTTGTAGCAGTGGGATATGATATGAGTCTGGAAACCAAATTTGGTTGCCCTAGCTCTTATAGTCTCTGAGATCTAGGCGCTCAAAAAGACGGACAGACAGACAGACAGACAGACAGACAGACAGACGGACAGACAGACATGGCTATATCGACTCGGCTATTGATGCTGATCAAGAATATATATACTTTATGGGGTCGGAAACGTTTCCTTCTCTGCGTTACACACATCCACTTTAACCACAAATCTAATATACCCCTTAACTCTTTTTTGAGTACGGGTATAAAAATTGGACTCGTCTGAACTAGATATTCAGTCACCTGTGACTTATTATCTTCCCCATTTTGGCCTACAAAATATAAATAAGCCAGATAAATTGAGAATTGTGTTCGACGCTGCTTCTAGGAGTCATGGGTATTGCCTTAATGATTTTTTGCTAACAGGACCTGACATTTACAATCAACTGTCATCTGTCCTCATGAATTTCCGTGAACACAAAATTGTTTTTGTCGGTGACATAAAAGAAATGTTTCTACAAATAAAAGTTCAACAGACAGATCGACCAGCCCAGAGAATTTTGTGGCGTGAAAATAGACGGCAAGGTATACCAGGCAAACCAGAAATACAAGTTTTATTTTTTGGAGATAAATGCAGTCCAAGTATTGCACAACAAGTAAGGAATCATAATGCAAGCGACTTAAAGAAAGAATACCCCAAAGCCTGCCAAGACAAAATAGGAAAACATTAAATGGACGACTACTTGGGAGGAGCAGATGACATTATCAGTGCCATACAACTGATTAAAGATGTTACATATGTACATCAGCAAGGTGGGTTTGAAATCCAATTACACATTCTGGCTTATAACTTTAATTTTACAAGATCTCTAAGGGAACTTCTGAAATTGGAAAGGCGACCGACGAAACGTGAAATACTTAAGAATACGATGCCAATTTTTGATCCACTCGGATTTCTTTCCAATTTGCTCATATCGAATAAAATACTGTTACAAGCAATCTGGGATAGTGGAATCAACTGGGACGACCCTATCATAGATGACCATTTTGATTTGTGGAAAGAGCTATGTAATTCGTTTGATAAAATAAGTAACTTCAGTGTGCCAAGACTTATGACAAAACTTCCAATAAATGACTGTGAAGTACAATTGCATGTATTTTGCGATACTTCTAAATATGCCTTTGCACCTTGCGCATACGTACGATTCCAAATTGACGACAAAATTGAATGCAGTTTAATAACTGCAAAATCACGTGTAGCACCACTCAAACCAATGTCAATTCCGCCGTTGGAATTAAAGGGTTTTTACTGGGAGCAAGAATAAGTAAAATGATTAAAGAAACTTTGAATTTAAAAATAAGCAGAACGCATTTATGGACAGACTCGGACATTTTTTTGTATTGGCTCAAGTCGAGCAGCAAACGCTTCAAAACCTTTGTATCCCAACGCTTAGGAGAAATGCAGGAGATATCAAATGTAGGAGATTGGAAGTATGTTCCATCGAAATTGAACCCAGCAGATGAGGCAACCAAAATCACTAAAATAGATTTTACAAATAACAAATTGTTGTTGACAGGTCCACAGTTTTTGCATAATGATCACTGGCCAGTAGGAAAGATTTCAGTTGGGTCACAGGATATCGATCTAATTGACAAAGAGTATATTAATGTCACTTCGCTACTTACCAACATCAGAGCACTGTCAGCAGATCACCACCGGCTGGCCCGTGGGCTTATTATTAGTTTAAAAACTGGTCATCAAGTAACTCGAAAGTAACTCAAACTTGGCAAAGGAAGGCACGGAAAAAGCGGGAAACGAAATTTTCACTTAATACTGAGTGGGAAACGTGAGTACGAACGTAAACAACGAAAAAAACAGCGCTAGAGGTGACATTACACAGCTGTTAGCGATCGATCTGCCACGCATATTGCAAAAGCTCGCGCTAGAGGGCGCCCACCAATAGTGCACCAACATTCTGTATAGCCTCGCCTCTGCTAAAGCTCATAACCAAAACAATGCAGCCTGTCTCAAAACGTCTGAGTGAAAATGCTGGAACAAATTTGAAGGGACCGCGTACATCAGAAACTCCTGCCCCGGAATTGGTTCAGCTTCTGAACCAACGATTTGAGGAGCAAGTCAGTCTCATTTCAACAAAGATAAATGAGGCAGAAGAGCGGCTGTTTGGTTTTCTAATGGGCAAGCTTAATAGTATGGCTTTTGAGATCCAGAATCTCACACAGAGAGTCCATTTTCTAGAAACTAGGCTGGGTGAGACTCAAAACCTTACAAAAAACGTAGAGGATCTGGAAGCCCAGCTTACGTTAAGACTCGGTGCACAGGCTAAGGCCAATATCGCATGCGACCTGAGGATCCATGGAGTTCCGTACGTTGAAGGTGAAAAGCTGAAGCATATCGTCAACAGCTTGTGCCTCAGCCTAAATCACACGCCTGCGCCTGCTATTAGGGATATTTATCGTATGTTGCCGAAAAAAAATCTTCCCCACTCCATCGTTGACCCCATCATCGTTGTCAAGCTGGAACGGGTGACGGTCACGTCAAAGTGAACCAAGAAAGTGAGATCTGGGAAGTTTTCAAAATTGAGGACCTGAGAGAGATGCAAGCTGCTACTGAGAGTATTGCAGCTGTAGACGAGAATAGCTCGTTTCGTCAATAATAAAACTATAGGCAAATTTTTCATGTTAGCTATAAGTACTACCAATCTAACCACCTTCCTGTACTATATTTTTAAGTGGGGCCCACTGTAACTGTACTAACTGTACCCACTAACTGTACTTACTGTAATGAAATTTTTCGTTGTGTTAAAACACACTTGATATGGACATTAGAAATAACCAATGTGAATACATCTCAGGTCCTCATAATTCTGGTGAAGCAAAAACCGGGTCTGCAAATCTGCCATATCAATGCACAAAGCTTGACAAAAAAAATTAACAAATTCAGACATATGTTTATCGACTCTGGTGTGGATGTTATATGTGTGTCCGAGACTTGGTTTGTCCCCGACTTTAGTGACTCGTTAATTGAATGTAGAGGATACAATGTATTTCGTTCTGATCGAGTAGGGCATGCCGGGGCGTTGCAATATACATAAATAACTAGATATCCGCAAATCTCCTCTGTAAGCAAAGACCAGATAGTGCCATAGAATAACGATCACCATCAATAGAAGAAAGATGCTTCTTGGTTGCATATATCGACCAAATCGTAACATTGACTACTCAGACCTGACATCACTTATTACTGACATTTCCTTGACTTATACAGACGTAATCCTAGCAGGGGACTTTAATTGTGATATTCTTAGAGAATCCTCATTAACAGATAGCATGTTGAGCTTTGACTTAAATATAGTGAACCACCAGCTCCCCACACACGTTACAAAAACCAGAAACACACTACTAGACCTATTCTTTGTCGACAGTACTGTCAAAATTCTACTATATGACCAACTCACAGCACCAGGATATTCAAAATATGACCTTATTTTCTTGACCTATGATTTTAATCCTGACTACCATAACTATGACATGATAATATGATATGTTAATATTCCCTGCCAGGACCGCCTTCTACTCTTCAAAGTTTAACAACGTTCTGTGTAGCAAGCAGAAATGGAAAATGATTAAAAGTATAGGAATCGGCAAAAAAAACAAGAAATTCGCTAGTTGACATGGACGTAAATGAAGTTAGCAAAAAAATTTTTCAATTAGTTGTACCGGACCCACCACCAACCCTGAACTTGGCATCAGCGCCCTATAATTATACTGTTCCTAGCTTTAGTTTCTGTTGTGTTAGTCCTTGTGATGTTATATGTAGAATCCATTCTGAAGATTAAATCAAATTCTATTGGCCTAGACGATATGAACCCGAAATTTTTGAGAATAATACTCCCTAGAATCATCATGCAAGGTACTCACATTTTCAACACAGCCATTACCACATCAACGTTTCCGGAAAAGTGGAAGGAGGCTAAAATAATCACTATCCCAAAAGCAAACTCTGCAGACTATAGGCCAATATCCATACTCCCGACCCTGTCAAAAGCGTTCGAGACCTTGGTAGCTGAACAAATAAATTAATTTCTTACAGAGCACACATTACTAAACAACAATCAATCTTGATTCAGAATAAATAGAAGTTGTACAACTGCAATGATACAAATTTTAGAGGATATCCCTGAAACAATGGACGACGGAAATGTAACGTTCCTAACTCTTCTTGACTACACTAAAGCTTTTGACTCAATTGACCATCCCATCCTCATCGCCAAGCATACGATCAGTACTTGGCCCGTTATTGTTCTCCATTTATGTAAATGATTTGCCAATAGTATTGTCCGACTGTAAAGTGCACATGTACGCCGATGACGTCCAATTATATGTTAGTCAACCGTTAAATAGAATAGATGAGTGTATAAATGTTACCAATAGAGAGCTTGAGAAAATTAGTGCGTAAGCAACCAACAATCGTTATGCCATAATCCAACGAAGTCAAAATGCTTGATTATATACAAAACATGAAAAAAATAAATGAAACGATATTAAGACGTGTAGAAATATTAAACACTCCCATTTGCTACATAGAGAAGACAACTAATTAAGGCTTTATAATAAACAGTAGGCTTTATAATAAACAATAGGCTCAACTTCCACATCACATGAAAACAATACGAAACCTTTTACAATTCAAAACTCAGTTAGGTGCCAACTTTACACTAGATCGCTCGCACACTCTGCCGCGTTCAGTGCGCGGGCAACCCCTAGTGGAGGAGATGTAGAATATAAATGGTACATCTATAATCTACATTTTATATGTATAATATACATTGTAAATGTAGATGTAGATAATAGATGTAGCAAAAATATGTAAAATTTAAACTTTTTTTTAAATTTTAAAATTCTAAATAATTATAAGCTAAAAAACGAGAAGGAACGTGTGAGTCGCTTCTGGGGACGCGACTCTACTTATACCCGTACTCAGTCAGTATATACATTTTTGAGCATATGATTTTTAAGAATTTTAGAAAAAAAAAAAATTTGACATTTTACATTTTTTTGCTACATCTGATATCTACATCTACATATACAATGTATATTCTACATTTAAAATGTAGATTGTACATGTACCATTTAGATTCTACATTTCCTCCTAGGGTTGCCCGCGCACTGAACGCGGCAGAGTGTGCGAGCGAGAAGGAAAATGAGTTGCGTTGTCGTGGGCGGGAGGGGGAGGGGAAGCAACTGAAAATTAATTTCTTCATTCTGGCTATAATTATGATCCGATCTGATTCAGATTCGGCAATCTGGTATATGGGCTTCTCTATGATACTGCGTTATTAGTTTTATCTTATCTTTAAAAATGTGCCTGCCACAGATTTTCGTTCTTTGTGTAGGCGGAAGGGGGCGGGGCGAAATTTTGAAATACACTTGTAGCAGTGTGATATCACATGAGTCTGGAAACCAAATTTGGTTTCTCTAGCTCTTATAGTCTCTGAGATCCAGGCGCTCATCAAGACGGGACGGACAGACGGACAGACGGACGGACGGACAGACGGACATGGCTATATAGACTCGGCTATTGATGCTGAGCAAGAATATATATACTTTATGGGGTCGGAAACGTTTCCTTCTCTGCGTTGCACACATCCACTTTTACCACAAATCTAATATACCCCTTAACTCTTTTTTGAGTACGGGTATAAAAATGAATAAACTGACTGAGTACGGGTATAAGTAGAGTCGCGTCCCCAGAAGCGACTCACACGTTCCTTCTAGTTACAGCTAAGTTTTGTATAACCGTATACTTTGGTCTCATTTTCTGAGTCAGCCCATAGCGTGTGCAATATCCTGCATGAGTTTTGCAGAGAAATCATAAATGAGAGGATCCCAGAGGATAGTCCACAAACCGAGTTGTGTGCCTGAGACAATTATCACATATCAGATGATTTGTTGTTGTTTTTTTTGCCATTTTCTGTCTGTCATTGTTTACATTTTCGTAGTGACTTACGATTTTTTGTTGTGAATGTCAAATATTTATTTGACAATTATCGAAAAAATACCGCACAGAATCGTGCGAATTAGGAACATCCCAGATGGATGATGGGAT